ATTCCTGAGAACTTGGTCCCAACCACTACCGGGGCTCGTGTCCAAATAATCGTAAGGAACAGCCGTCTTCAAGCCAGGCCTTACACTACATTGGCTCTCCACTATCCTCATCTCCACTTCCTCGCCTTCGTTTCCGCCAATTCGTTCGAGTTCCTCCCGTGTGTACATCAATGGCAGCGTAGACGCACCCCATGGATTGAAGTCTATGAGTTTTACTCGCCTGTTACCAGTGACGTATACGTCGAAAATGTATTTGTCTGATTCGAACTTCGCTCTCACGGATTCATGGAAGAAGTCCTCGATCAGGGCTTTGAGCTCTTCTTTCTTGTCCAGAAGAACAGGGTAAAACGTGGTGACCTCGCGCTGACACATCCCCACGAGCTGATTCGATCGGACAAAGCATCGGAATTCCATGTCAGGCCTCAATGAAGGGTACCATTTTCTCAGGGCAAGGAAGAAACTTGGCGGCCTGGAGATCGTTTTGTCGGAACACGAATCATATGCGTGACACAGATCATGAACCAGCGAGTCCGATGAACGTAACAAGAGAGCAATCTCACTGAAACATGTGCACCTTAGATTCTGTGTCGGACTGATCCACGCAGCGTCCTTCGGGGCACTCCAATTCAGCTTCGGGAATACTGCTCCGCCAAGGCTCTCGATTGAATCCTTGATCTCGAGCTCAAGCTCCGGGAAAGATGGAGCAACCGTTGGCTCAGCTTCGTCGTCTGATCCTTCGGAGACTTGGTAATCTTCCTCTTCGTAAGGATTGTGGACTCTGTTGGCGAGAGCGTCCTCGTTCGCAACAGAAGCTGGAAGAACGAATGGCCCAGAATCATCGGCGATGTAATCAACGAAGGATTCTGGGAGTTTGTGGATTTTGGTCTTGATGGAGACGGATTTGAATTTCGGGTACCATTCCTGAATCTGGCACCGGATTATCTCCTCTTCCTTCATCGCTGAAATCAAGAATCTAAACAAAATTCACCAGATGCAAATACCAAAGAAGCTTGAAAACGTCACAATGAAAGAGACGAAGATGATCCGAAGGCGGCGAGGTGTCGTCGAGTTAGGGATGGAACGTTTGTCTTTAACGCCGTCACATTTGTTTTATGGGCCGAAGGCCCAAAAGCCCAATGGGATTGTTTTTGACAACTTGAAATGAATAATTTAAAAAAAAAAATCTTTCCCCCAAGTTCCATCACATTTTTTTTATTGATGAATTACAAATACTTTGTTATCAATTTTCATTTGGGCTTGGGCAGATCAGATTGGAGATGGATTTACCACTGTGAATGGAGAGATCAATTTATTATCGAAATATTAATAATATGATGAAATATAACAAAGATATAAAACGAAAACAGAGGCTTAAACACACTGTAGAGACAAGTGACATTCACTACAGTACAAAACTCTTTGCAAAGTCTTAATTTTTAACTCTCTCTTCCCGGGAAATCAAAGATTCCGACCAAAAGTATTCGTGACGGCGGTCTGGTTTCCCGATGAAGCTTACATATTACGTATATACGTATACGCGTACTGATACATACGTACATCGTATCAGCTTCTCCAATACAAAAGCAGCATAAACACAAGAAAGATTTCTTCTAGAAGCCACCTTGCTTTGTATTTCAACAGAGGTTTTGCAGCAGAAACGACGGACCTGTATATTGGGAAGAAAACTTATATTCTAACGATACATACATACATATATATGTATTATATAAAGAAAGATAATAACCAATCATCATCATCATCATCATCAGAAGAAGAAGAAGAAGAAGAAGAAGAGAGAAAAGGGTTTTTACTTGGATGCATCATACGAGCATTTTCCGTAGCCTGCAAGTAACCTCAAGAAATTTCAGCATATATATATATATTAAAGATGATATATAAGAACTCACTGATACTCTATATTTTTTTTACAGAAACTTCAACATCTGCTATTAGGGTTTTTATTATAGAATGACTTACTGGGATTGATCTTGGTAAGGGCAGCAGTTCCACCGAAATGACAAGAGATGAGATTGTTGCCATTGGTCTGGTAATAAGAGTTAAAGGCGAAAGAGGCGTGAGAGACGAGTGTGTTAGGCTCGTAACAATCTCCACCTTCTTCAATGGCGGAACAATCAGCCATTCCAGTTCCACACGCCCAATCGAGCGCCCTCTGTAGATCCATCTGCGACGAACCAGGCCTTGCCACGCACCACGTCGTCCCCTCCAAGAACGTCGCGTTTCCCTCCGGCGGCGACCTCGACGTTATCGGAACCACGGCCTCCGATTTCATCACCGCCTCCCTCTTCGCCACGCCTATATATATATACATACGGAAACGTGTAACGTACGTATATGTGTATGTAAGATATATATATGAAGACATGCATGAAGATGCGTGTGTATACTTACTGTGGGAATTGAGCATGTGTAATAGGAGGAACGAGAAGAGCAAGTTCTTCCACGTTCTCTCTCTCATTTGAGGGAATGCAAGCAGCAAAACCCTAAACCGTATAAGCATATAGAGACATTCAGATGGCTTATATATATCGATTCTCTAATTTTTTTTTCAGAAATAAATTTCTTGAAAATACGAGGTTTTTATGTTTACTACAAAACTGAATGCAGTGGAAGTATCTAGATGCGAAGGAATCGGAGGTGCCTTCAAGAGAAATGGAAATAATATTTTTTTTTTAAAAAAAAAATTCTTTTCTTGTGGTCACAGAAGAAGTAGCAACAAACCTGAGCTTTTTAAACTTTTAAAAGGGTTTTATATTATTATAGTAAAGTTAAAATCTAACACTTCCATTCCATGCAATAAATTAATTATATGAATTGTCTGAATTAATTAACTGCGCACTCCTATTTATAAAGATGATTCCATTATTTCATTTTCACGTACATGTAAATGCATAAGAAAAGTGATTCGCAAGCAAAGAACAAGGGAGCACAAAAAGGCGCTATACCCTTCCCCTGGATATATTAAAAAAATATTCTTCATTTCTTATTTTGATTTCAACCCATATATTTTTCTAGATGATAATGGTCATGTATTGATTATATTGATCATAACATTAAATTTATAATAGTGATCATAATAATTTGATATAATCATTATAAATTTAACGTTACACTAATGATTAATCCTAGTATTATTGTTGTCTGTCAGACATTCATACGAGTTAAATTCAAAATAATAAAAAACGGAGAGTATATATTTGAAAATGACGCACTCCCCTCGGTATAGTTTTATGTATTCATACATAATCAAAGACATCATCTTTTCTTTTTTTTTTTGAGTATGGGGCCGACACATTTCACTCACAAAATACCAAAATTTAATTTATGCATAATTTTGGTTGAATTTATTTTTGAGAAAGCATATATACGACCGACACCTGCAAATAACTCAGAAACAGATAACTATTTCGCATGGAAAAGCATCTCTCAGTCACCTGAATTTGAGACATGACAACTTTAGGACATAACCATGAAACTTCCCTCGCTCTTAAACCACCGACAGACAAGGTTTTTTACAAGACAAAATGTCACAACCCCAAACAAGAAAACAAGAACTCAGAAGAAAAAAAAAAGGTCATTAAGAAGATTAAACAAAAGCTCCATTATATTCACTCAATGAAGCCTAGTGAGTTCCTCTACTCTCTTGCAGAGCTCCTCCACTGGAACATTCATGGCTTTGGAGATTTCCTCCATCTTACTTCTGCTTAGATCCACAAACGACTCGATCAGGTCCCCGTCCAGGAAATTCCTCGCGTCTGCAGTCCTTTTCTCGTTATTGAACGATCTCCAGTGTTCATGGTTCAACCCTCCCACTCCCTTTATCACTTTCCTCAGGTTGGCTTGCAGTTTCTCCAGGAACATGTATTGCTCTTGTGGCAGTGATGCTATCACTCCGATTACTCCATTCACTGTCCCGAAAATCACTGTTGGAATCTGCCCGATTTCAGAGTCAGGCAATCTCATGACGAGAGATCCATGGCGGAATCTGTTCACAAACTCTCCGAGGTGGTATTCGCCGACCACCTCTAGTCGCCCTCGTTCTTCATCTGTAGCCCCTTCGCTGTTCTTCCTCACTGTCAGTAAGTTGAAGTTGTTTTCAGCGCCGAGGTAGATGTCATCGTCGAGAATCTCAACTGCTGACATCCAGTTCGCGTTATAGTCTCGTGCCCGTTCCTCGATTGCTCCTTCCTCATGCTTTAAACCATGAAAAATAATTGAGTAAGCCATCGAAACAAACACAAAGTTAAATGCATTATTAGCCACGGATCCTAGAAGGGAAATCCATATCAGCTTGAACACAAGAAACTTCGAGTTCTCCCTAAGAATAGGGAAAAAAACAGATTTGAGTCAGTAGCTCACCTTGTAGATCAATAAGGAAATTGATTTCATCAGGTCACCAACGACGATGAAATCTCCACGGGTCTGAACATAGAGAGCTAGTATGTGTCCATGATGTCCACATTCAGACTGCAACTCACGAGTTCCATCATCCCGGAGCATCCACTTGTACAACTGAATCTTCTGATTAATGGCAGCGAGCAGTTTGCCATTGAAGGCGTTAAGAGAATATACAGCTCCCTTGGTTTCCTTCTCGGCAATCAGCTGCAACCTCCCTTCTTCCACAACAAAAACCAAGATCCTTCCCTATATTCATAGAACACCACAATCAAGGACAATTGAAGAGAAACAAGCACATTTTACCGTCATCTATTTGGAATCCAGGTAAACAGGAAACTCGGTGCAAGTTTACCTTGGTTGGTTCGTTTTCCTCGGGCAAAACATATGCTGTCCCAACACAGTAATATACGTTTTTATCGTCGGTAAAAGAACAGCTGAGGATGGAGCAGCCATATTCAAAGGCATCCAAGGGGTAAGTTGACAAAAAGTCAAAAGTTTGGTCATCTAAGAGACGAACAAAATGCATTTCAGATTCTTCTGCATTTGGTTGGTTTCTCAAACTACAGATAGCAAACGTCCGTGTCTGTTCTTGATGACAGATACGACGAGCATGCTCTCCAAGAGGAATAGTGCGTATGTGAAGCTTCTGAATATCATCAATTGTGCCAATAGTAAGTTCCCCTTCTCTGGCAATGGCTAAGCTGCCCAGGCAAAAAAAAGGCAGAAAACAGATTTCACTACAATAAGGTTCTATGAAGATGAGAGTAAAACCCATTTCACTACACTACTATAATATGCTAACTGATATAAAAGCCATGGTCGAGGTTGATCTAAAGGTAAGATCAAGCAAATAACCTCTAAATGTACTCGAGGGAAATAAAAGAAAGCAATTACCTATCCGGAAAAGCAGCAGAGTTGAAAGGACACATATGACTAACTTCTTTCAGATTGACGTTGCTGTATAGAAGCTTTCTGTTGCTACTGTAAATTACTGTCGGCCTGTCTGATGCAGCAAAGACATGTGTTGCATTTTTTGATGAAAATGTACGAAGTGTTATAGGCTGAGTCCCTAGTGATACTCTTTTTCTGTCTCTTACTTCCCCAGTTCTAGTGTCTAACTGGAAGTTTAGAAGATGACCATCTCCAAGAGCACATAGCAAGTAGGATATCTGAAATAGAAAAAATCACAAAAGAGAAACAAATAAAATCGTTAGTAGAGAGCACATAAGATACATTATTATACTACTGGCTGAAAGCAGCCATATGACACTTTGGACATGAAGGTACCATGATTTCATACCCCTTCAAATGCACAGAGAAGAACAGACCGAGGTATTATCTCTCCTCCTAGTTTCTCCTCTGTGAGAAGAGTCAATTCTGGTAGCGAAAAAATTCTCACACTTATATCTGTCCACGTTCCCACTGCAGCTAGCTGACTGTAGTTAGGATTCTCGCCAATAGGATTTATATCAAGACAAGAAATCTCATAATCCAACTTCTCATGTTTCACTTCCGTCAACGTCCCATCTCCAATTTCTAGATAAACCAGATTCCCACCTCCAGTAGCCAAAAGAACCTAGAACGTCAAAATAAAGGATGCACATTAACCATTTATCTTAGCAGCTCGGTTAATAGAGATATGCTGCACAAGTATGGTTGTGTGTGCAGTTTTATTGCCTTTAGTTGTTCTTATTAGCCATTGAAACACCTAACATTTGCATGCTAAAATTCTTGGCATTCTTAAGAGATTTTCCATATATGTATTTATTGCATCTCACTCTTGAAAACAATATTCTGCACTCATCTCGTTATTCTGCTCCATACATATTCAACAGGGATCCATTTATAAAAGCGGTTTTCAAATCACTGTTGCATCTCTAAAAAGTTACTCCGACATGTAATCTGAGAAGCAACAGAAAATTCCGTTTAACCGTCCAGAAAAGCATAGAGTACTTGTCCCTCTAAATAAATAACTCTCAGTGTCCCAGTTAGATATAGATTAAATCAAAAAAGAGTACAAACAAACCTGGCTGGCATTTGCAGTCGCAACATTAACAGTATATCCAGGTCGGACGTGCCATTCATTACGCAATTCTCTTGTAGTAGAACTGACCAGTCTAACAGAATTTGAAGTAACCTGATTTAGAAGAGACAGCAATTAGTACATACTAAAGGAGAAGAGAAAAAGAGAAAAGTGGACAAGAAACCGTCTAAATTGAAAATACAGATATGGACCATAAGAATAAATTTATAATAGATTTTCTTTAAAACACCAAAACCAACGATACTATAAGAAAAAAGAGGAAAACAAAACTTAATGGTGATATTTTGAGTACACACTAATATTCACCAAATAATTTTGATGAGACGCAGGCAGCTATGCCATGTCAGATTAAAATTCATTTAACTTCAAAAGACAATAAGGGCAAATTTCAAAAGCAACAAGCACGGGCAGGAAACTATCACGAACAAGCTCTAGAATAACATACTTGTACAAGCTGATTGAAGACAGCATCGTGGCAAAATAAAGTCTGCACTTGAGACAAGAAACCCTCAATCTCTGTTTCTTCCAGTTCATCCTCTAAGTTCATGGCTAAGATACGCGATTCACTGATAAAACTAACGACAAGGAAGGTGTCAAAGGGGTCATCAATGGATGATTTCAGTGACCACATCCCTTTGATACCTTGAAGTTCCACGGAAGCCTGTGATAAAACAGAGAATTAAGAGATCACACCAGATGAGAAAATTCCCTGTTCAATACATATAGATATAAATAGACATTGCTTATATAAAACATACCTGTTCGTTGATTCCTATCCCATTACGAACTATGCGGAGAGAACCATCTTTATATGCTCCGGAGCAAGTAACAACCTGGCCTTGCCCCTGCCTTTCAAGGTCAACTACACAGAAATCGACAATAGGCCCCAGGTTGACATACCTTTCCAAGACTTCAACATATGAGCCTTTTGCATCAGGGTGTAGATTTAGCTTTATAAGCTGCATTGGAGATATATCACAGGCATATCATCAAAAAATCGAGATGTTTTGGTTATTCATGTTCTTAATAGGAATCAGAGGAAAGGAAAAGGAAACACACAAACAACTTGGAAAAGCAGTACTTAAAGAATTATATTATTTACATTCCTACGTGAACAAAAGTTTTTGAAAAAAAAACATAGAAGGACAACCATGTCGTACAGACCTGTGAATCGCCATAGCTTGAGCCAACAAAGACAACTGCATTGTCAAGATATGATATGGTAGATGCAATTGATGTTTCACCCAAAAGCTCGATTTTCAGACCCGTGACCCTACAGAGTAAAAATAAAATCAGCCATGCATCTCAGTAAAGCATTCTTCCATTTACCATATGAAAGAATGCAATAAAGATATATACATGACTCACTTTTCCTTCTCATGCGTTATGACAAGCAGGTGAACAAGCCCGGCATGGTCACCAAGAAGATACCGAGAGCCATCAGCATCAACTCTTCCGTAGGCTTTTGTGATCGACTGCACATGCAAAACGAATTTTCAAGAGGAAAAATATCAAACCAACGAAGTAAAAGGGTGCCAATTCATAAGATTTGCAAATGTCAAGAGAACCAGACTTTTCAGAAAAGTAACCTACAGGTCTTATTGGTATTGCTTTGAATGCGTTGGCGCTGCAATAGACAATAGTTTCTTCTCCGATGATAAGGACACCACATAGAGGTGGGGGTACAGGTATCAAAAGGTCAGCACCGTTATCTAGATTGTTCTGTGACCAGGGCCCCTCAATAAAATCCTTATCCTTCAGAGAAACTTCATAAGTTTTAACATGCCGAGCATCTTTGTTATCCTACAAAACCAATCATATGTGAGTTTCACCCGCGAAAATTCTAAATTCCACAAAACGAAATAAATTAAGCTTAAAAGAAAAGATCCAACTGACAGCTACTCGATGAGAAAATATAGAGACAAGAGATCTCAGCCAGTCTGCTACACAAACTAACCACCAACAGGACAGAAATAAAACCAAGTCGCAAAAATAAATATGCCATCCATAACCAACAAGGTTCAAACTTGGCCAAAAACAGGTAGAGATATTACAGACCTGATAAAGAACTGCAATTGTGGGTTTTGAACATCCATACAAAAACTTGATATCCAGGACCTGTAATTCCTCCAGCCTTAAGAAAAAGACATCATAGTCAATATAATGACTTTATGGTCCACAAAATAATAAGTTCGAAAAGAAAAGCATGGGTATTGCGAGACTAATTGTGGGAGTTTGAAGCGAATCTGATGCATGAAACAAGTATTCCCTAGAACAGGGACGATGAACACAGGAGAATGACAAACCCACTTACATAAAGAGAGAACAAAACTTAAGATCTATAGCTTTCGACCTACAATATGCTACTCTTCAGAGCTAAACTATCATAAAACCATATGAAACAGTACCTTATGTTAAACGCTTCCTTGAGTTGTCCTTTATTATCAAATGGAATGACCTAACAAACAAAGCAAATAAAATAGAGTGCAAGTCATAATGATGCAAACCAAAGGATCACTGAAGTTTGGTACAGTTCATTAAATTTCTTTCAGCGGCAACATCATACCTTAAATAACCCGTCATACAGATGGAGTCCAATTAACCTACAATCAGGGTCGATGATACCAATCTACAAAAGCCGGTGTTGAAAAAAATTAGCTGCATGCCTACTTGAACCATCAATTATAATGAAGGTAAGATTTGGAGAAGATGAAATTCAACCCATTTGTAAACAGAGTGCGGGATATCTAAACTTGGTACCTGACCATTATCTGTTGGTCGACCTATGCGATCAGATACATCTCCCATTGCTCTACCAAATACAGAAATATTAGGCGATGAATCAAGCAGGATCAACAATGTAGAAATAATGCTTCACAAATATAACAGAAAATTCGGGACAGAGTCTATTTACATATCTTAAACCATGGAAAAGCCTCCCATTCTCTGAAGGCAATCTTGTTAAAGAACACAAAGTTTTTAGGATGTTATAGTCACTACCTACCAACCCAATTCAAATGAAAAAGCAAAACCAGAGAGAAAAGAAAACAAAGCAAATGCTAGTAATTAACTACAACCTCATAAAAAAAACACTAAGCACAATCACAATTCTAAAATAAACATTCAATCATATTCTAAACCCACAAAGTGAATGGATCCTAAAGCAGCTTATCAATGAAAGAAAGGATATGCTATGAATGCTATCTAAAATCGTGCAAGCACATAGCACAATCACGAAACGGGAAAAGGTGAGGGATGCGAGACAAGAACACCTAGGCATAATCATGATAACATAACACTTATACTACTAGCTTGACATCAGTGGAGAAATGAATAGTTAAGTTCATTTAAGAATTAACCTCGTAATGAGCTCTGAGGACTCGGCATCCCATTGAAGAACACAAAACTTGTATCTCTCAGTTGCAATAAACAGAAAATCTTGCGCTTCACCCTGCAAAAGACAAAGGGGCATCAGTCAAGTTTCCATTGCAATTTACTCATAATCACCCAAAACCACGGATATATAATAATAAAACCATACTCACATGGGGACGAAACAGCTCCAGTGTTGCAATTCTTCCATATATAGGAACATCTAGCATAGGCTGCACAGAATTTCCAATTAACTCTACATCCGCTAAACTACAGAAGTATTTGCAAAACCTCCACTTGGTGGAATAATTATATAATGCTACGATAAATTTTTTAATGTTATACTAGGAATCCATGTAAAAACACTCTTCAGATTCTTCTGCATTTGGTTGGTTTCTCAAACTACAGATAGCAAACGTCCGTGTCTGTTCTTGATGACAGATACGAAAGAAAACTAATCTGATTCAATGAGAATAATACCTGGAGACCCTGAGGGGTTAGCAAATGAATTTCAACACGGGTGCACTTCCTGAAAAAGGGCGAATAAGCATGTCAACAGACATCATAAGAGACCAGCTTGAACAGATAACTTGTCCAAGCTAGCGACCGGAATTGTCTAACAAAATACTCGATGTAAGAGCCTTCAAAAAAACTCGAATCAACAAGCGGTAAACGCCAATATTTGACACCATCTAGACAACAAGCTTAGAAATCTGAGCACCCTCGGCTAACAACCCAGAATCGAGTAGAGCACAAGGCCTAGGAAGTAGGAACTAGGAAACCGAACCTTGAGAATCTTATTGGAAAACCCTAAAACCCGAAATTAACAAGTCACAGCGAAGGACCCCAAAAAGGACGAAAAGGACAGGGAAA